AGAGCGAACTCAAAAACTGGTTGAAGTGAACTCTGGAGCAGCTCGAATACCAAGTAGACCAGAAACGGCTCCAAAAGCAGGAAGCAGTTTAAAGCGCAAGGCATTCTGGATTAATAAAACCAAACCTTACATGTGTGCCTGGTGCTGGAGGGATAAATCTCTGTTGTCTTTTACCAAAGATAAATCTGATGCCACTCAATTTTGTTTCCATTTTGTGAAGGAAGTTCAGCTCAGTGTCTGACGTTTTTGTATCGTTTCCTTCAGTGGTTCATGGTGCAGCACCACCACAGGCGAGGGAGGGTAATGGGTTGAAATGAATCCATTCAGAAATCCAAAACTGTGACATAAGGTAGAACAAGTTGAGCATCTAACCTTCACAGGCTCCCCCTCAAGGGTCTTTGTTTTTTTTATTTATTTATTTATTTTTTATTAAATAAATCCATAAAAACAACCAGATTGGAATGGTTCTTCAATCTCATTTCTTAAATAAGAGAAACTTTCTAAGTTCCTGTCTGAAACTATAAACTGTCTTCTTTTCCCTGTGATTCCTACAGTACAGTGTCCTCTAAAGATGACAGCAATTACTCAAAGTTTTTATGTATTTTTTTTGTGTGATCAAGGTCAATAATGTCAGGAAGCATTTGCCCATCAATATGTCATGACTTTGTTTCTGCCTCTCCACCCTTTCAGCCTCTGAAGACGCATGATCCAGTGACTGACATTTAATCTTTAGTTGACAAAATGAAACCATCTCCCTGTCCTAACGACATCCTCCATGTGGTGATTATAAACCTTTTTTGCTGCTGTTGGTCCTTGTATTGTAGAAATTTGCAATACTTCACTTTTAACCAGTGTGTCCTCCAGTTCCTTCAAGCTCGCTGTTGGGGGACCAATGGTAAAAAAAAATCAGTAAAATCCACACCATAGAGACTGTTCTACTCTTTTATCTACAACTTGATATCTAGAGCATCTATTGTAAAGGTTCTCATGGATTTCAACACTATTTGCCACTCGGCCAATGAAGCTGCCAGCAGTTTTGTAAAGTACAGACCAAATCAAACATTCATCCCATGCTGGCATTTCCGACATGCTTCTTCCACAGCAGCAGTGTCAAATGTCAGGTTCCCTTTGGTGCAGTCGCTAATGTAATTACTTTTTAATTTATGTGACAATAAATTGACGGAAAATTGGGACGTGTAATCCCACCGAGGCCCCAGTAAAACGGTTCCAACCTTCAAACGAGTGAACCGGTGTCAAACGTCTGTTTGTTTTTCATTTTTTACGAGCTGCACAACGACAACAATTCCATAAAAATGCTGTGAAAAGCTTCTTCGTCCATCCATGTCAATTTGTATTACATTCGTCTGTGTTCTGCTGACCAGCCAAAAGAAAGGAGAGTGTCCGCATGCAGAGAAGCATCAAAGATGTTGACACTTTTGAAGGACTCGGTTGTAAAACTCAGTCAATACCTTAATTTATGCAACTTCAATTCAAAAATACTTTATTGATCCCAAAGGGAAATTAAATGTTGTTGTAGCTCATCGATTCAAAGTTGTGAAAGAGTTATTGTAGATGTTGATGGCAATCGATTGAGTTGATTAACTCTAGATGGGCAGTTAGGTTATTTTTGGACAGTAGTATCTGTCTCCTTCACCTCTGTTGTCTTTTTTTTCTGATTATCTCAATATCACAAAAGGTCAAATGTCCAAAAACTCCACTTCTGGGGAAGGAGATGATCATATTTTCACATTGGACCAAAGTAGTGCATGTCGAGGCATGTAAACTTTTCAAATGGAAAAAAGTAGAGCTTAGCTTTACTCTTGGGTGTTTCGATGGCAGGGAAGGAATTAAGAAACGTGAATCATTTAGAAACGAGGTGAAGAGTGATGGGGGAAGCAAAACATTAGAGACAAATGTAAAAGAGTTGGATATAAATAGGACAAGGTATGAAGCTTCATCTTCATCTCACATCATCAAAAAGACACCTGGATGCAGAAAACACAAGAAGAAAAAACATCCGACTTCTACTTTATTAAAGGAAAATGGAAAGTTAGAGTTTAACACGACGTCTGAACGCATATCATGGAACCAAGCTTCATAGTGTAACATTTTGAACCTCGGTAATGCTTTGAGCTGCAGCTGTGAGGGGAGTTTTAACTCTATTATGATTGATCCACTGTTCTGTAAAAACTGACACGGCAGGATGAAGACTTGCCGCCCACTGTTAAACAGGAGACTCTGCAGAAATGACAACAGCAGCTGGAACGATGAGGGGGGAAAGGGAGGGAAACCATGTTGGTCACCAGTCAATATCACTCTGTTTGTTGTACAGTAAGCCTGTGGATTTATTAAGGGAATGGTTGATCTTTCAGGCATTTCTTCTCGTGTTTACCTCTCCACAGGTTCACGCCCAGATCAGACACACATCACTGCCCTGAACTGCCGTAAACACTCTGCTTGGATGTCTGCTCAACGTCCCGTTTTTGGTCTTTTGTATTGGCTCAGAATTCAGTATCAAGTATCATAGTAGCTATGAAACAGAGTCAACAGATTACTGGATTTCATACATTTGACCTAATGATACCTGTAAAAAGATGTGCTTCATAGAAAAGGCTTCAGCCTAAACAGAACATTTTAAGCAGTTAAGTCTTTATATGTCTGAGTGTCTTTTAGAAACAAGTCATGAGTATTTTAGATACGACATCTTCTTAGGGTTTCTTTGGTTAGTTCTTAAGCAGAATCTCAGGAAAGTTTCAGGAAAGTACTCTGTAGCTTTCCACACTGATCAACCTCCTAACCCAGAAAGTACTTGGATATTAGCTATGTTTTTATTCCATTTCAGTTTCAGGGTATGTTTACACAAGACCACTGTACAGAGACTGGCGATATTCTCGGATGTTGATTGGGGATGATTTCTGTGTTTAGACGGTTCTGCATCACTGTGTAGATGAGTCCGCCAAGACTCCTTGAATCCACTGTAGGGCTTACTGTGTCAGGATACTGTGATTCTAGCATGTTCTTCACCTTACAAGTCCGTTCTGCATCAAATGTAATGTCTGTCTCCGACAAACCGTCTCTGAATATGAATGTGTCTCATGTAACACATCCATATTCCGTAACAGATGTGTTAAACTGAAAGGTTAAGCGGCACACACGTTTTACCGTAGAACAAATCCTGCAGCCGTGCGTTCTGGCATGTGCACTTTCACACCTGTGGAGTATTTCACACTTACTTTAGCTGTAAACTTTTTTTTTTTTTTAATTTTTCCTTGCCTGTCTTCATCTCCAAATACACTCCAGTCAACTCGTTTGGTCAACCTCAGATGTAAAGCTGAATTGGACCCTCTGGTCCAGACCAGTTTGGTTCTTCAGCAGGTTTAGACAGCTTTCTCACTGGTAGCTCCTACTTCTCAGGGTCTTGATTAAATGCCACATGCTGCATTTAGCTGACGCGTTTACGGCGGGCGTTCTTTTTTTAAACACCCCTACTTACACAGCTTTTTTGTGTGTTGATGTTTGGTGTGTTTTCAGCACCGAGTTTGCAGACTCACTAATTGGTAGATGGATAGTTCACAAGAGACTCTTGGCCGTTATGTAGGAATAATTATCCAGGCTCCGACCTCGAACAGTTTACAGATTAAACATCTCGACACCTTCCGAAACGAAGACATGTGCTTGATTAAAAAGAGCCCCATGTTGTGAAATAATGACTCATTCCCACAGGAGAAAACTGTTGACCGGCTTAACTAAAGCCTTCAACTTGGGGCTTTATTTTTGACAATGTTTTCTCCTTCCTTTTGTCTTCCTAATTGGATTTTGTGTGTATGCATGTGTGTGTATGGACTCCTTGTGGTTTGCTGTGATCGCCTTACAGTGGCAGTCCACCACAGGAGCACTGAGAGAGGAAATTAACTCGTCGGTCACATCTTCCCGCTCCTTCTGGATACCTTCCACTGTCCCCCTCATCCTCCGTTTCTTGGTTTGACACGCTCAGACAGCACTCAAAGATTACCGCTCATTAAACGCCCTTCACAGACATGCCTGGCTGGAATACGCAAGCGAAACGTTTAATTCACTTTGGATCTGGAGACGTAGCGGCTGCGGCTGAGATGTAGAAGAGGGTCGAGTACGGAAGGGAAAAGTGAAAAAACAAGACAGAACAATGACACGTGTAACGTAGGCGAAGACTGTGGGGATTACATGCGGCAGGAAGTGGTGAAGTGTTGTGGAGGTAATAACCAAAGGGCACATTTTCCAGTCGAAGGTTAAGCCATCTGTGAAAATGAGGTAAAATGGGCCTTGTAGGTGTAATGATTTTCTCCTGTCCTGCAGAGCTTCATCATGCCCACATCTCTCCACTAAAAACACGCCTGAGGTGATATTATTCTCTGTGGTGGCGTGGCGCTGCTGGAGCTCATTAGGATTCACATGTGCAGTTATGTTGTCAGCGAGCAGAATAATGCTGCGCTAAAGAGCAGAGTTCAGCACTTTCCTCAGCCAACACTGTAATCCATTTACATTTCTTTTTTTCTTTTTATCCCTGCGTTTTACCTGTGCACATTTCTGCAAATTGTTATTCAGGAGGCGGGTTATAGACTGTTTTTTTTTTGTTTTTTTTCTTATGTGGTTACCTCACCACATGAAGTGGTACATCGTTGTAGCAGATAGCTACTTTCAAATATAAATGACTAAAGAATATGAGCTATAAACATGTTAAGATGTCAACGTTTCACGAGTAGCAGATCCGATAAAAGAAACTGAAGGTAAACGGTTCCAGATTCACCCATCATGACTTGTTTTATCTTTGTTCCCTCATTTAATAAATCCTCTCCCAGAGGTGTGATGTCCCTGTTTCACCATCACTTTTTAACATCTGGACTGAGATGAATTAGTCGCCATCTGGCAGAAACTAAATTAAAACTTGACAGGAGTTCCTCTGCAGGGTTTGTTGGGTTTTAAAGATAAAGCTAAATATAAAACAATTTCTCTTATTATTTTCTTGTCTCTTTCCTCCCAGCTCTGCTGCTTCTGTATGACGTCACCAACAGAGCCTCCTTTGACAACATCAGGGTAAGATCAATCACCTTGAAAGATGTTCGTCTCCCACTTTCTTCCTCTTTGTTTCTCTCTCTCTTCCTCTCTCTCTTGTTGGTAGCGTTCTATTTCAAAACGGTTTTAAATCCACATGCCTGAACGTCATATCGTGCTTTTTGGGCAAAACTCGTTATTTACCAGCAGATTGTTTTCTTTCTCTTTGGCGAAGAGTTCATGAGGTTAATAGCATATTAACTTCACAGTAGGTAAGCTGTATGTTTGATCAAAAACAGCTGGGAGATCCTAACTCATTAGTTATTGCAGCATCTCTGACCATCGGTCCTTCCTCTTTTGTAAATTGTTTCCTTGAAGCCTCTGAAGGCGAAGTATAATTTACAACCAACATATTTTAAAGTGCAACAGCTTTTTTTCCCCCCTGAGCCGTTTGCAAGCGCGCTGAAACTCCCCCACCAGCATCAGATAATGAACAACAAGGCCACTGAGTGAGGATCACAACAACGGCAGCAAATGAGGGAGGTGACGAAGGCGAGCAGCATGGGCCGCGCAGATAAGAGCGTGCGCTGCCTCTAATAGACGGATCTCTTTGTAGTTCCAATCTCTGGTGTGTGAAGTCTTCTCCTCCGTTATTCTGCAGCCATTTCCTGTCCCATTTGGTGCTGCTCTCCTCTCTGCTCGGCGCGTTTCTCTCCTTTGATGAACACGGAGCAGAGATGAGAGCAGGACATGGTCATTGTAGGAGAGCCTCACATGTAAATAAGTGTGTGTGTGTGTGTGTGTGTGTGTGTGTGTGTGTGACCGCAGTGTCCATGGATGCTTGTTATACAGTATGTGCTTACATGCCTGAACTTTTTTACATTCACACCCGTCACCATAGCAAACTTTGCTCCCGATAAATTGTCCCAGAATTAATCGCGATAAACGATAATATTGTTTTAAGACCATTTTCAAGAAATATGACGATAAAGCTTACCGTCTCAAAGATCATTGAACTTTAATTTTGTTAAGAACACATACCACTGGAACTTTAAGGCATTTTAGATTTTCACAATGTCTAAAAAAACGATGAATAAAACTGAAATAAAACCACTTACAACTGAACCCATAAATGAAATGGATTATGAAGTCTATAAACAAAACTGTCCTTCAATAACTATTCATCATCACAATGGAAATTATGAAACATTTTAGTTTATCTTGTGATTGATTTATTGCGAAAGCTTTAGTCAGACTTTGTCGAACCTAACTCCAAACCTCAGAGTATGTTATTGGGATTTTATGTGATAGGACAAAGAAAAAAAGCACCAAAAAAATCCTATTTTCTACAAAATATCTCCCGCTCAGTCAGATTGGATGGGGATCATCAGTTATTTCCATCTTTTGCCTCAGATCATCAGTTCAGCTTAGGTCTGGACTTTGACTGGGCCATTCCAACAAGTGGCTCTGGTTTGATCTCAACTATTTAGCAAAGGATTGCTATTTATTTAGTTCCCTCCATCATTCCATCCACTCCAGCCAGCTTTCCTGTTCCCACAGCATACCGCCACCACATTTACCCAACCAGATGTGTTCAGAATGATGGTGCTTGTTAATTTTCCATTCCATTTTGAATTTAGCATTAACCTAAAAGTGTAATATTGGAGCAGAGCTCCATGTTCCACATGTTTGCTTTGTTCCACAAAAGGTTTATGACAAACTCATGGCTTCCTGTCCACAGTGCTGTTCCTCTTGCCACCCTCAGATGGAGCCAGATCTGTTGTGTGCATGATTTCTGTAACAACCAGAGAACACATACGCGGGAAAACGTTCCTTTGAACCATGGATTAAATTCTGGGATGAAAAGCAAGCATGTGAAGCAAATTTAATCCATCATAATTCAAATTTGAGAAGCAGCTTCGCTTCAGTTTTCATTTACTTCCCTTCAGCAGACTAATCCTTTTTTCTCCCTCATGTCAGCAAACAGCTCTGATACATCTTCAGTGAGACGCATCGACTCTGCTCCACATTGAGGTTTCCACTGTTAGGCAGTGAGTGTGTTTAGTTCCCATCATCAGGACAAAACAGCCCCAATGGCCAGAGCAGATGCAAACCCAGTAGGAGGCTGATGAACAGTGGATGTGCGTGTGTGAGTGTGTGTCTGTGTGTGTGTGATTGTTGACCAGGCTGTTTTTGTTTTTGGGGCGGTCGGAGACGACACCTGTTCAGTACAGAGCTTGGAAACAGATTTGAGGTACATTATAGAAGATGTCTTTATGGAGAAGGACAGCAGAGTGATGGTGAAGTTTGGCTCCAGGTTGTTGTCAACACATCTCTGTACACTTTTGTAAATGGTATCTTCTGTTGAGTATTCACTACCCAACCAGTGTATACATCATCACAATACGATACTTGGACCTTTTTTGAAATTTCCACCAAAAAATTAAGCAGTCTGGAAAAACTAAAACTATTTAATAAATAATAAAAACCACCAAAACCACTCTAAAAACAAACTAAAACTAACTGAATTAGACAAAAAGTAAAAAAATAAATAAATAAAATTATTACAGCCTGACTCATTAACCAGCCAATACTAGCATTTTATATGGTCACTTTACAAAAGCTGAAAAGCAAAAGAACATGTGTAATAGACATAAAAACTAAACTGCATGATTTAATGTTCTATATTTTGCTTCGAGCTGATGGTGGACTCTCAAAAAGCTGACCAACCAACTTCCTCATCCTTTTATTTTGAAATATCTCTGGGTAAAGTAAACTGAGTGAATCATTGACGTGAGCTCATGAAAAACCTGACTGACTCTTAGGACTCACTTCTCTAACTTTCCAATAGTCGTGTCCATGTATTAAAATTAAAATGTTAAAAATAACACAATTGTAATCATCAGCGCTTTTAAGCAGACATTATTCTACCACTTTTTACTTCTGCATACATAACTACATCACGGTTTAAACATACTGTGCATGGATGCCATTAAAACGTGCGGCTTTTACTCTCGCATGCTAAGCTAATGCAAAATTCATGCTAATTCTTTGCTTGTTAGAGAGAAATATTCCAGTGTGCCTCAGCAGGGACAGAACCTTGCACCAAGCAGATTAACAGATGAGTTTATTTTAAACTCATTTCGACTACACAGCTTTCCAAGGCCGCTGCACAAGGCTGTCTCCTATAGTGTGAATCCATTAGCAGCTGAGGCTGGAGGTGAAGGCTGAAGGGCAGCGAAATGATGGCGAGATAAAGGAGTTGGGCGCGCTGCTGTCCATCTCCCACTGACTCACTCTGGCACCCAGGCTTTCCTTTTCTCTCTCGCTCTTCTTTTCACTGCTGCCAACAAGGCCCTCTTCTATCCGCCTTTCTTTGCTGCTTTTATCACTTATGCTGCATCTCAAACCACTTAGCTCCATAAGGTCGTCTAATTGCAACTTTTTACATTTGCTCAAGTGCGTCTTATTTTTTGTAACATTTGAATAGGTTTTATGCAGTACATTTTCTTTGACGCTGGGGATTATTCCACAGATAAATACTAAGGATAAACATTTACAATCACTGACTGCTAATGTTAACCTTGCATATTATCATTTAAAATGTTATGGAATTGCACTTTTTTGTTCTCCAGAAATCCTGTTGTAACCAAACTAGGAGACTTTCACAAGCACAAACTTGGTGGCTAGATTTGTCACCCGATATAAAAAATGTAATGGCAAACATTACGTAATATTCATACTGCTTTGTTTAGTAAAGCAAAGGTTTAGAATTGGTCACACTAGTGTTGCTAAAATCCTTATATAGAAAATCAAAAACAGACGACACAAAAAATAAGATGTTATGTTCAAAACACTTTTAGTTTTATTGAAGTTTGCATACTTTTCATTGTATAATTACCCTTAGACAAGTTCAGGTACATTTTATATTGGGATTTAATCAACTCCCATAGTAAATGTTTCCTTTTATGGTCACCGAAGATAATAAATGTTGTTTCATTAAAGTGGAAAAATGACATTTTTGAGGTTTAACAATATTTCTACAATAATTTTTCAATAACAAAAAATAGCATCTGTAGAAATGTAGATTGTATCCCGACACTTCAATGACTTCTAGACTTAAACTAAAAAGTTGGTGTCCCAACACTGAACCTTGTGGGATTCCCCTTTTTTTTTGTTATTTACGGTGTGATACTGCATCATCTAATGGTACAGTCCTTGTTTCTGTTTGATCAATAAATGCTCATGCTAAAGCAAGATAAAAACTATCATCTAGTCTGTTGGCACAGTCAGCTTTGTTGCTTCCTGTCCAGTGTTCTCTATCTTTAGCTTTGTTTTATTCTGAAAATCTCCACAAACTGATGACATCACACTTGAACTGCATGCGTCTAAATGTACATAGGTAAATTTGATTAAAGGTGATTGTTACCTGATTTCACCGTTGTCATAGTGACTCCATGCTTTTCAGCACATGCTTGAATAGCTACATAAGATAGTTTGTTAAACTGACACATTTCAGTTTAATTAAGAGTGAAAGCATTATCATCATCATCACACAGCTGTGTACAATGTTTTATTTGTCTCCATAGCTGAAACCTCGAAACCTGCTAATGCTAATGTGCTTTCAAGTAGTTTAATGATACACAGGCAAAAATCATGCTTGTCTTTCAGAATATAAAAGCTATAATTACACCCATCCACATCAGGGACTTAATTGATAACTTACTGTCGTCCTGTGATTGTCGTCATGCCAACTACTTCTTGAGTAATACCTTCTTTTTTCTGCCATCCCTGCTGACATTTAATTGGAGCATTATTGTCTCCCACAATGGTGGGTGTGTCCAGTTTTCAATTCAAATTATGCTAAAATGTTCCGAGCTTGTTTGGTCTTTTGGTGTAATTACAGCCATCTGCAGCTTAATTTGAATAATCAGAACAAATGAAACAAATCACTGAGTAGAAAGTGCTGGAAGCAGCCAAATAACATCACCTCAGGCTGCTGCCTAATCTCTAAAAGACACATCATCATCGGCCGTGTGGAG